TGGACTTGAATTCCATGCATGGTTAGTTGTGGTTGATAGGTGGTCTTGTTGAGACTTGCATTGATCCATGAACAAGGTGAGAACTTTTCGTTTGCCCACTTTTGGTGGCCTCGAATGTTGTTTGTGGTGGATGTCAGTATTGCTTGCAGCGGTCCATGCATTAATTGCCAATATCCATTGAGAATTCCCGCTTTGTGCCCTTTGAGTTGTCCCCAAAGTATGTTTGTAGGTTGAAATATTACCTTGTGTGAAATGGTTTGCTTGGGGACAAGCAAACGTCTAAGTGTGGGGGAGTGATTCGGGACTAATTGTACATATTTTACCCCCATTTTCCTTAGGCGTTTGTGGCAATTGTGCTCCTAAAAGGGTGGTTTTACGCGAGGTTTCTTGTGTTTTAGCATGTTTCAGGATCCAACAGGTGAAACCAACCCCGGAGTCGAAAGTTGGACGAAAAGGAGCGAAAATCGGGAGAAGAGGTGAAAAGAAGGCAGTTCACGACTTTCCTTGGATGTTCACGGTCTGCTTAGACCGTGAACTGGAGCTATTGCCCGAGAACATCAAGGCGTCCAGGGCCAAATCTCAAGTTACTGACGCTAATTGAGTTCACGGTCACTAAGACCGTGAACTGGAGTCGTTGCTCGTGAACCAGTGCAAGCGAAGTGGTGCATTTCAACACCCATCTTGAGTTCACGGACACGTTTCAGAGTTCACGACCGTGAACTGAGGCTGTGAACTTACCACGATCCCTATTTAAAAGAAGAGCTGAAAGGAAGAGAGAGGAGGAGCCCAAAAGAGTGAGAACGTCTTCTTCTTCAGATTTTAGAGAGAGAAAGACGAACCAAAGGAGAAGGAGGCTAGGGTTTTGCTCCAAGAGTGGATTTGAGAATATTCTCCCCAAGAGAAGTTCAACACAAGTGCAAAGAAGATTGGAAGCCTCCCCATGATGGTTTCTACCTCTTCCCCTTGTGTTTGGTACCCAAATTTATTTTTCTTTACGATTTAGTACCTAAACTTTAAAAATTTTACAAAAAGATCTAGAAATTTTGATGGCAAATTATGTTTTGGTACCTTTATATGTTCTGCCTCACACTATAGTACCTAAACTTTTAATATTTTACAAATAGGTCCAATTTTTTGTTAGGAGGTATTTCAAATCACTAGTTGTTGAAATGTATTTCAAGTTGACAAGTAATACACTAGACATGTATTTGGAAATCACCCATGAATTTGACACAAATCCAAATCCTCCAATAATATATGGTAGAGTTTTGTGTACTTTTCTCCATTTCAAATTCCTTGCAACGGGAGTAAAAGTAAGAAGGGCTATTTTGTCTTTACAATTATTTGTTTATTTCATATAAAAAAGATATTAATATAAGGATTTGAACCAGGTTTCTTTCAAGCAAAGACAACCATAATAACCAATTACACTAAACAAATTTTTTGTATCTTTCTTAATACAAAACATACACGAAGTGTAACTCTAAAAAACGGAGGACTTTCCATCATGATTAACTAGCCCACTAAGTCTCTTGTAAATATTTTATGGTGCTTGATACTTTGATTTTCATAGTAGAATTTCATGTAATCTTATCCATTTTTTTATTTAATGCTCTCTAATGGCAATTGGCTAACATGGAAAAAAACTATTTCTTTTACTACGTGTTGTGTCATTGCATTTTTTATTTTAATTTGTATTTTGTATTTTCTTATCTTTGTTATTATCCCTTAATAACTTGCTCTGAAACTCCCTCCGTCGTGTATAGTTTGCTTTCTTTTACTTCCCATCTTTTATAGGAAGAAAATGTTTATTTTCAATTACAATACTTCTGCTCAGTTTTGATTTTGTCAGATCTAATGCTCTTCGCACTCATATTTTTCTCATCAATTATGATTCTTATGGTACGGTTCACCGATCAAATTTTGGTATTGTTTTAGGATTTGGTAGACACAATTGATTTTGATGATATTTTTATTGTCCATTAATCTAGCTAATTGCAAGTCATAATGATTGCTAAAATTAAGCTTACACGCAACACTATGGGAGTTGGGGGTGTTGAACTTGAAAGAGTTGATTGGGTTTGGGAGAGGAATTGGTGAGGAAAGAAATTGTCTTTGGATCTGGTAGTAGGTAAAGTTCAACTAAGGCATAGAAGAGGGAGTTGATGAGGGTAGTGATCAAATTAAAGGGGGGGGGGGATATTGAAAGACATGAAAGCGAAACTGGATCAGTTGAAGAGAGAGGAGTGGGAGATGATGAGTATATTAATGAAAATGGAGAGGGTATTGAAGGGCATGGAAGTGGACTGGAGTAGATGAAAGAAGACAAGGGGGAGATGAGCATATTGATGGAATTGGAGTTGAGTGTGGGTTTTACCGAGTTTATTAGAACTGCCCCTGATGAAGATGAGTTGGCCAAATACAAGAAGAAGATTGAGGAGTTGAGTAGCGAGTTGACAAGAACCCCAATTGGAAGATAAATTGAGGGTCACTAAGAGAATGTCCATCAAAGTAGCAGAACTGGTGTTGCAGAAGAAGAATTATAAAGTTAATTTTGGGTTAAAACATATGCATCTTGAGATTGAAAGATAGAGGGGATAAAAAGTTGGTTGTACCTTGAAGAGTGTTGACTATTGGATCTTTAGGTATACGTTGTTGGAGCTACCACAATATATCTCTATATTAAAATGAGGAAACATGGATTGATTTACTAAAGTTAAGGTCGATTCTCTATTCAATCAAATGGAACTGATCGATAAGGAGTGTCTAATTTTGTGTCTTATTACTTTGATCAAATCTATTAGTATATTGGAGGTAACCCTAATTTTGTAGTTTGCTCTCAAGTTTTGATGGTACCCTTTTAGCTAAGTTGTTAGTATATGGTTGAATTAAATCAACAACTATCCATTTCTTTTTTATTAGTGACATGTTGTTCCTAAAAGTGGAGCAATGAACCATTTATGTAGGAATAGTAGTAAAATACGGTTCGGGAAAGTTACGTATAAAATACGTATGGGTATTTTACTTCATCTCTATGTTAATTTTATGTTTAATAGTACGTTAATCGTCACAATATATTAAATTAATTATTTTAAAAATAAAAAATATATATAAATAATTGTAAAGATAACAATTTAATTCATTAAATACATATATTAAACGTATTATACAGTGTTATACATGTTTAGTACAGGAGCCATCAAATGAATAGGAAAAAATCAAACGGCTTGACAATAATACGGATACGAAAGTTTTAAACGTATAAAATATGTACGGGTACATATACGTGTATTAAACGGAGTATTTACTAACTATGTGTAGGATTGTGAGGTTTCAGTTTCAAACTATCTATGGGTTATGTGAGAATTTCAGTGAGGTTTTATACTCTATCTTTCTCGACAATCAACTAATGAATAACATTTTAACAGAGATCATTATGAAAATGAGATTAAGGATATATTTTTATATTGTTAAATATTGATGGTATTCTTCAAATATTAGACCTATACATTCATTCTTTATGTATCATATTGATTGAAGGACTGCCAACAAAATTAAATGAGTTGATAGATTTAAAAATAACATAAAAATATAAACCATCAAATATGAACATTCTGGTCAACGGACCGGGTTATAAGCTAGTACCAAATATAGGGGTCGTTTGGATGGATTAATTCTCAATGTGGTATTTATAGAGTAAAATAACTCACTTTTTCAGAATTTTGTATTTCTGTGGTATTTCTATGAAAAGTGAGTTAAATTATCTTGTTTGGATTAGCTATCCACCTGGGTTATTTAACTTGTGGTATTTGATTATAAATACCATTTTGCCCTCAATATAACTCAGTTCTACCCCCACCCTATATACTTTGTTCGTGTTCATCTTTATTCCCAGAAAATCCATTTTCCACCGCTGTGTCCATTCCACATGCAAAGAGATCAGGAAAAACCTACCCCTAATCTTTACAACAAAACCAAACAAAAGATACAACTAATTAGAGGAATGAGGATCACTGAACAAGAACACTTGACAAGAAAACCCATTTTCTCAGGGATGTTGCCGTCTTTTAGATTCTTGTCGGCGAAGAAGAAGAATCCGAGCAGTCCACCAACGACATTCAACAAGAACAGTTGGCAATTCTCCCGACTCCTTCCCCTTCTCCGATTGTCATGGCGTTGTTGCTTCTCCCCTTCTCCGGCGAAGTAATCAAACCCAAAAATAAATTCAGATCCGCCGCCTTTGCACGCTGAAGTCGATGGTGGAATTGGGGATTTTCCTTTTGATAGGAACGATGGAGGAGATGAAGAGGGAAATTCCTCCGCTCGCCTTGTCGCTGATGTCCCCACTTATATACAACTGCCGCCGGCCATGTCTTGACTCTCCATCGTACACGCAGTCGTCGGCAAAGGGGGGTTAGGTGCTTCTGTCGAATCGCCAATAAAAGAGGGCATCATGGGTGTCGTTGGATTGACAAAAAAAAAAAGAGAAGATAGATTAGTAGAGGATCCATTGAAGAAGGAGAGTAAATCGACATCAAGGGAGAAGATTTGTTGGAGAGGAAGCTTTCATCTGTAAAGAACAAGGAAAGAGAATGAGAGAAAAGAGAACGAAAAAGGGCAGAAGAGGCTGGAAAGGCTGGGAATGCGTTATTTAGAAATAACACCTCCCTAGGTGTTATTTTAAATAACCCGTTTTTGAGTTATTTCTAAATAACTCAGCCCTTAATACCACATTCACTAATAGGATAGCCAAACGAGTTATTTTGGCCCAAATAACTCATTCAAATACCCTATCCAAACGACCATATAATTAATATCCAAACATATGTTTTAACATTTAAAAATCCAAATCACAAATACCAAATCCAAATCATTATAAACACACCTACTAGATTTCGTAGTTTAAGATCCCACGCCACCGTCTTACCTTTGACTTCCACTTTCCTGTTCCCCGTCTCAAAAGAACCCTTTTCATTATTTTTCTTTTTTCCTCCATTTCATTCGTCTTAAATTATCTGTGAAGAACTCGAAGGAGAAGACGACGACGGAAGCAAACAGTCTCACGGAAACACCTCTACAGTCCCAATATCCCCCCTTTTTCTTCGCCATCGCCTTCGACTTCGACTTCCACCACCATTATCATCGGAAGCAGCTCTCCATCAGCAATCGCTAGGGTTTTCTTTGTTAATGTTAGTTCCACACTCAGTCTGACTTCCGACAATCCCGCGGCAATCAGAAACATCTGAGGGTCTCTTCTGATTCCCCTGCCTTAGTTTGCAAAGTCCGTTGCTCACCAGTTAGTTCGTATCTCTCTAATTGCTGTCTGGCTCGGGGAGTTCATAGTCGTCTAATCCGCACTTCGCCACTAGTGTATTTGGTTCGTCTCTTTCACGGTGATTTTTAGTTAGGGATTGGATCGCATGCGAAAACGTGAAAATTTACCGAACGTTGAGTTGTTGTTTTTCTTCTTCTGTTGGCTGTGAATTGAAATGGGCTGATGTTGAGAATTGTCAGTAGTATTGAAACTTTAAGTTTAGTGGGAAAGTAGTGAGGGTGGATGGATGAATAGGAAGGCTTTTGTTTAAGAGGTGGTGAATTGTGCACTTAGATTCTTAGTTGGTTAGCTGAAGTTTGAAGGCGATTGGTATGATGGTTTAGTTGTGTTTGGTGCTTTGGTTGTCCCTTTCGTGGAACTACATGAAATCTGATGCTTGTGTCGTAAGCTATTTTCTTCATTCCTTTTGATTTCGTTTAAAAATTCAGTTGGGTGGAGTTTTTTGGTGTTTGAAAGATGCTTCCTTCTTTGCTACATTGTGAGGGCTTGATAAGATCAACCCGTTATAGTTTAGGATTCATAGACAAATGTTGAGATTAAATCGCTCTGTTATGCCACCACTAATGCGGTGGGACCTCAATTTACCCGTTCAATTTCATTAGTGGAATTCTGAACCTGTTTAAGATACGTATAACGCTTGTGAAAAAATTGCTGTTGAAGTGTTTGGTTATTACGGGAAGCATATTCATTTGCACATGTAGCAGACAGCCTTTCTAGTAGACAGAAAGGGAACACACTTTCTCGCTTGCTGATTGGGTGTATTGTTTATTTAAGGAGTTCCGCAATGCACCGTGTGGGTAGTGCAGGGAACACAAGCAATTCTGTTCGTCCGCGTAAAGAGAAGAGGCTTACATATGTGCTGAATGATGCAGATGATACCAAGGTGAAGTATCTTCTGTTTCGAACATTTTACTGATTGTGTACCCCATTGATGTTAGCAGTTTGCACCAATTGTTTCTTACAGTGCCTGTATTCGGTGATGTGTGATTGCAGCATTGTGCTGGTGTAAATTGTGTGACTGTTCTCAAGTCATCATCTTCCAAGAGTGACTACCTCTTCACTGGGAGTCGTGATGGCACATTGAAGAGGTGGGCAGTATCTGAAGATTCTGCTAGTTGTTCTGCTACATTTGAGTCACATGTTGATTGGGTATATTCTTTTTTCTTTCGCACTTTATTGTTATTATTATCTGATGGCATTCATGCTGCTGGTCAGATTGTCTGTTTTCCTATATTGGTTTTGCTTGGAGTAAGTCTACCATTTGAAGCCTTCAGCTGATAGCTTGACTTAAAATTTTGGCGAGCAGAATTGACTATTTTGAGATGTTAACATGTAGTTTCCTGGTTCTTGCTTCATTTCTGAATGAAGAATGATGAGTGCTTGTTTAGTTATTTAATCTTTGCAGAAATGTAATTGCTTCTTAGAAGTTTATATAATCCTGGCTATGCTTGTATAGTCTGGTTTATTATATCAGAAGCAGTTCGTAAATTACCATTTGTTTTCATGCAGGTGAATGATGCTGTCCTTGCCGGGGAGAATACCCTTGTCTCATGTTCTTCAGACACTACTCTCAAGGTTTGTCTTTACAGCTTATTGGTGTTCTTACACATATCTTTTTCTTCTATTTTCTTTTGTCTTCTCAGCTGGCTGTTGTTTCATTAAGTTAGTTTTCCTCTTTTTTTCCGGTTACGTGCTAGACTTGGGATAGCTTGTCTGATGGAACTTGTACACGAACTCTTCGACAGCACTCTGACTATGTTACATGCCTTGCTGCCGCAGAAAGAAATGTAATTTCTGTTCAGAACTTTGTGGATGTGGTTACTTGCTTGTAGTTTTTGTACGTTATAAAATGCATTTGTTGATTTTCTCTTAGTGTCATGCATTTTAGAGCAATATTATTGCTTCCTGTGGCCTTGGTGGAGAGGTTTTCATTTGGGATATAGAAGCTGCACTCACTCCAGTTTCAAAAGCAAGTGACACAACAGAAGATGAGTACTCAAATGGGGTAGGTGGTTCTGGTAATTCGTTGCCTATGACAAGTTTACGGCCCATTAGCTCAAGCAACAGTATTACTTCACATAACACTCAGTCCCATGGGTATGCACCAACTGCTGCAAAAGGTCATAAGGAGTCTGCATATGCGTTGGCAATGAATGAAACTGGATCAGTTCTTGTATCGGGTGGAACAGAGAAGGTATAGTCTCACTGATGCACGCTTACCTCGCTGGCTCTCTCTATTCTGGTGGAAATTTGAGTGCTAACAGAATTTATGGATCCTGGCATCTTAATGCCAGTTCTTGGTTCTTCTAAGCAATGAGATCATATTCATCTTCATTCCTTCAGGTTGTGCGTGTTTGGGACCCACGGAGTGGTTCAAAGACCATGAAGCTAAGAGGTCATACTGATAACATTAGAGCTTTGCTTCTAGATTCTACTGGCAGGTTGGTTCAATGGTCTATCTTACAATTAGTTAATTTTGGTAAGAATGATTATTTACTTTCTCGTGACATCTACCGTACGATTATATAAGGTCCTCAGAGTGGCCTGGAATGAACTTAGTTGCTAGTAGTGTTCATTCTTCAGTGTGATTTTCCAGTGTCTATGGGGAATGTTTGCTTGAGTCTTGTGGTGCCATTTTTCTATATTAGTTCAGTAGCAACTTCTTTATTGTCTTCTTGTGAGGCATATATCCTTATATCTGCATCCACATGTGTTATGTTTATGTGACTTTTAGCTCTGGTTATTATGCTGTGATGACAAAGTTTTATTTGAGCTTTGAGATTAATGATCTCACTGCTTGCTTCGACCTGTGCTTTTATCTCTTCAATTTTACATAACTTTTATATTTCCTTCATCCAGGTTTTGCTTATCGGGATCTTCTGATTCAATGATCAGGTGAAGTTGGTAACCTTTTCTTATCAATGTTATCCATCCCTCATGAACCCATGTCTTACAGTGAATTGCTTTCTTCAGACTATGGGATCTTGGTCAGCAAAGATGTGTGCATTCGTATGCGGTGCATACCGATTCTGTTTGGACCCTGGCCAGCACCCCTACATTTAGTCATGTTTATAGCGGCGGAAGAGATCTTTCTGTGAGTGAATTTCACAAAGCCCTTTGTCTTGAAAGTTCCCTTTACTAAGCATTCTTGCTCTGAGATCTCTAATTGTCATTCCAACTGTATATCCCCTCAGTTGTACTTAACGGACTTGGCGACTAGGGAAAGTGTTTTGCTCTGTTCAAAGGAGCACCCCATCATACAATTGGCTCTGCATGACGATAGTATATGGGCTGCAACTACCAACTCTTCAGTTGATAGGTGGTCGGCAGATGGACGAAATCCTGAAAAGGTTTTTGAGAAAGGTGGTTCGTTCTTGGCTGGGAACTTGTCATTTTCTAGGGCAAGGGTTTCTCTAGAAGGGTCTACACCAGTAAGTGTTTATAAAAGCATGCCTAACATGGGTTGTTCTCCTAACAACTGTTGATGTAGTCTGTCCATTTTCAATAAAGTTACAGGCAAAGTGCTGTCATCATGTGTTCTGCCTGGAACTGTTTGATTAGGCTGTCTCTTATACTCTTATGTATTACTCTTGAAAATAATTATTTTTCTTTTTTATTGGATTTTCATTCACCTGTTTCTGTTGTAGGTGCCTGTTCATAGGGAACCCACCTTGACTATTCCAGGAACTCCTGCAATAGTGCAGCATGAGATTTTAAATAATAAAAGACATGTATTGACCAAGGTAACCGTTGTAGTTTTGCCTGTATATGGAATGGCTTCTGTTGCGAAACAGGAACCTTTTTGTATGTCAAAGAGGGTTTACTGAGACATTATATGACATTTATGTTTGATAGGACACTGCTGGTTCGGTTAAGCTATGGGAGATCACAAAGGGCGTGATAGTTGAGGACTATGGGAAGGTCAAATATTCTGGAGAACTCAAATATTTTCATTCATTACTTGGTGAACAAATGGTGGGAACCCATTCTCAAGCTGCTACTGTGCAGCATGTTCTTACTTTCAAGTTCTGTGTTCTTCAGGTGGCGTTTGATGAGAAGAAAGAGCAATTATTTGAGATGGTATAAGTACTGTGGATACTTTGGATGTGAATATCTGATGTTATGTTCAAGCTCCATGGTGTTGTAAATTTTTATATTATGGACTGTTCCTTATGCTTGTTTATAGGTGAGCATTCCTTCATGGTTCACAGTGGATACAAGGCTTGGATGCTTGTCAGTGCATCTGGACACTCCACAATGCTTTTCAGCTGAGATGTATTCAGCAGACCTCAGCATTCCAGGGAAAGCTGAAGATGATAAGGTGAATTAATTTAAAACAACCTCCTCTGTTTATGATTCATGTACATTGAACAGAACACTTGGTGTGTTACCTACTTCTCAGAATTGGTTTGGTGTCTGATTTTGTGGATAGATGTACAGAAGAAATGCTTGAATTTGGTTGAGACCTTCAATGGTGTTTTCTTTTTTGGGGGGAGGGGGTGGTTAATCTGAAACTGTTATCTGTTTACATGTGAGCACATAACAATTTCTGAAGTCTTATTTTGTAATTTTGTTCTCACAAGCATTGAAGTATGTGCCTCTTATTTAAGTGTTTTAAGTAGACGAATTGTTGCAACCCCAAATATTGGCTTTTTTCTCTCTCTGTGAGATCCAGAATCACACTCATTCATGAAAAGGATCTTGACTTCAGGTTAATCTGGCCCGTGAAACCCTTAAAGGACTATTGATTCATTGGTTATCTAAGAAAAAGCATAGAGTTGGATCTCAAGCTTCTTCTAATGGCGAAGTTCTTCCTGGCAAGGATATCACTTCTAGAAGCCTTTCCAATTCCAGAGTTGAGGTAGATGGCAATGCTGAAAATGACTCCATATATCCTCCATTTGAGTTTTCAACAGCTTCTCCGCCTTCAATTCTTACCGAGGGCTCTCAAGGGGGTCCATGGAGAAAGAAAACCACTGATTTGGATGGAAGAGAAGATGAGAAGGATTTTCCTTGGTGGTGCCTGGACTGTGTGCTGCATAATCGCTTACCTCCTAGGGAGAATACCAAGTAATGTTTCTATGTAACCCTGTAAATACTGGAGTAGTTTTAGTTTCATACATGGAAAGCATTTGAACAGGGATGTATGTGTAAAGTGTGGAAGTCGTCCTGTTTTTCCTCCACATTTTTGGCTTGTAGTTTAACTTACCTGAGGTATATGCTGTGCTGGCAATGTTCTTTGTACTCCTACTGATTTTGGTTGTTGTCTCTCCCTGACGAGTTTAAGATGTGATTTATCTGCAGGTGTAGCTTTTATCTGCATCCCAGTGAAGGCAATGCTTGCCAGATACTCACGCAAGGCAAACTTAGTGCTCCGCGCATATTGAGAATCCATAAAGTATGTTTAGTGAAAAGTTTCATTGTGTCTTTTTGAATAGTTTGCTACTAGTAACAGACCGACTATTCCCTTGCTGCATACATGGATATATCCGCTTGAATCTGGAAACAGAATCTCAAGTATTGAAATTGGGCTTTATCTGATTGAGGTGTAGTGTTGAACTAGGGACGTGCATAACTTGCCCTGTCTGTTCTCCTTGCGCACATTTCATGTAGCTGTTACTAGATTGCATTCCATTGCTTGACTTTCAGCAAGTGTTTGGTTTTAGGAGCTGAGAGCCAAAACCCCTTTTCCCACTTGGTAAGACCCCGCAGTGTGGAGACACTTCATCGCTTGAATTAGTTTAGTATTACTCGCCTTCTGCTGCTAGCCTTAGCATGTACATTGAATTATCTTTCTCTATTATAGCAATATTAATGTCAGAATAGTTTTCCTGTTTTAACTAGCAAATGGTTAATTTGTTGTCTATGTTTCTCTAACTTGAGGTCGAGATTGAGAGCTCACTGTCTATGTTTCACCTATAAGTTAAGTCTGGAGAATTCTCGTTCACTTTGTCTATTTCAGGGGTGTTACAGTACTCCAAACATTACTGGTGATACCTTATTTGATGTAAAGTTGGTATGGGCGCAACTGCTATCGTAATATGTTTTATTTAAGGCTCTGATGGGGCCCTCAAAAAATGCTTATATGTAATGTTAGGTTATGTTGTGGTCATGTATTTTGTGAGATCTGATCAGATTAGACAAACTTACTTGATTAAACTAATTTTTCCCTGTAGGTTGTCAATTATGTTTTAGAGAAGATGGTTCTAGACAAGCCACTTGACAATTTGAATCCCGAGGGAACGTTTGCTCCTGGACTTGGTGGAGGGCCATTGCAACATTCAGCACTTGGGGATGGATCTTTCCGCTCTGGAACAAAACCTTGGGTGAAGTCCAGGAATACTATAGAGATATTATGCAATAATCAGGTATCTGGATAAATAAATACTCTTCCCATTGTGTTTAGTAACAATGTTATCATTTTCTAGGCAATTATATTTGAACACCCCTCCCCCCTTTGAACGGGGAGTATGAATGAAGAAAACAGTGAATATCCCCTTGCGCTGAAGGAAACAGCTTTGGAAACCTTCCCGATAGATTAGAGCGTTTTATTAAGTCTGATGTTTAATGGACTGTATTTGTTTCAGTCAACGATAGTCCCGATAGATTAGAGCGTTTTATTAAGTCTGATAGATTAGGGCATTAACTACCAGTAATAAGAAAGAGATAGCAGGGCTGGGCAATTATATATATATATATATGGAGAGTTCTACTGTACCAAGGGTGAAATTCGGGGTACCGCATACTTTAAGTAAGAAAACGCTATTCAGAACTTGAATTGACTGATCTTTCGGACATGATACTATACTCTAACCCTTAAATATCAAAATCTAGGTCTTAATTCTCTAAATCTTATATCACAGATCAATTTAATTAGAAAAAATAATCGACGGTTATGATTCGTCCAAATATAGGCAAAAAATAAATGCACCATCTTAGGATTTGTAGTTTATGATTTAGATAATCAATAGCTAGGGTTCACTCATTAAGGGTTATGGTATAGTATTATGTCCAAAATCCTGCTAATTCGAAATCTAAATAGCATTTTCATACTCAAGTTATGCGGTATCCCGAGTGAAGGTACCGTAGAAGACACTATCCAAAACTTGAATTGACTGATCTTTCGGACATGATACTATACTTCTAACCCTCAAAGATCAAAATCTAGGTCTTAATTCTCTAAATCTTATATCCAAGATCAATTTAATTATAAACAATAATCGACTTTTATGATTCGTCCAAATTTAGGCAAAAAATCAATGCACCATATTGGGGTTTATAGTTTATGATTTAGATAATTAGGACCTAGGGTTCATTCATTAAGGGTTAGGGTATAGTATCATGCCCAAAAATCCTGTGCGGTACCCGGGGCACCGTAGAAGGCACCATATATATATATACTACTTTGGTGCACTCACAAAAATGAGTGCGTTCAATGCACCCAATTGAAAAAACTAGGTTTAAGGTGTTGGATTTTGAATTTTAATTTGTAGAATTAGTGTAATATGATGATATAACATATGATAACAACTAATTAGTGGATTACCCTAAGCCCTAAACCCCAAATTGTAAACCCTAACCCTAAATCTCTAAACTCTAAATCCTTCAAATTAAAGTAAACCTTCAATTGTTTTTGTGCAAATTCATGTATGTATTGTTCATCACATCATAAGTGATGATTGATATCATTTTGACATAAATCACATATTTAAAATGACGGTTATGAAGCGAGTGCACTGAATGCACCCAAAAAAGTGAGTGCACCGAAAACACCATCATATATATATATTTAAGATGTTTGTCTGGCTCTTATATCAAGATCATTGGTACCCTGGTTTTTCTATTCCTCCTTGCTGTCAGTAGAGTGCAGTAATCAGATTTAAACCTTCTATGCATTTCATCATCCTTCTTCTGTGTGTTAGAATTGAACCTTTCTCTGTTACTGGCTGACGTTTGGTATTTTTTTTCTAGGTCCTGTCCCCTGAAATGAGTTTGGCCACAGTGCGAGCTTATATATGGAAGAAACCTGAGGATCTGATCCTCAACTACAGAATCATCCAGGGAAAGTGACGTGATACACAACTAATTCCAAGCAGGTCAGGTCAGTCTTCCATTCTAACGTAAAACCTACAAATGTGCCCTATGTTCTTGTCACGATTTCTTCTCATCAGTTCTGTTGACTGACTTGCAGCACAATTTTATGGAACATATCAAAAGTTTTTATTCGTAGAGAGCTAGAACTATGATTGCTGACCAATAGTGTGTATTCAACACTTTTTTTTTTATGGTAGTGTGTATTCAACTTTCCTGCCTGAAGAACAAAGCTTAAATTTGTATCCTTTATTTATGGGAACAGGTATCACCAGGCTTCGAGATAAATGATATTTTTTCCTTTGTGAAAATACTTGGGAATATATCTATTCTTCTGGCTGTGGTTGCCTTGATAACTTGATATTGGAAACGAGGAAGGCCAATCAAATTGTAAAATCTGTGGCCATGTCAAAACTGCCTTGAAGATCAGGGATGGCGTTCACTGCCAAATTTTGATGTCCTCTTTTTTTATTACCTTCCTGGCCGTCATTCAATCTTGAGCTGTAAGGCGGGAAGGGAGTGGGTTCAGTTGTTAACGATTACTGGGTGATAAAATTATGAATTATGATGTCGAAAAGCGTTGTAGGTGTTCATTGTTGGTCCCAAAACCTAGTAGCCATAGAAAACGGAATTAGTGTTCAGTTTTGGTCTTTCCTTTTCCAGGTTGAAATAAATACAGTTAGTTCTAGTAAACAAGAACCACTGGGTCCTTTGGCACTATTTTTCTCCTGCTTATGATTTTCTGGTGGGATGTTTTGGAACAAAAACTGTGAATGCCGAGGGCTGGATGGAGTATCAGTGTCCTGTGTGGAAGAGATGAAGGTATGGAAGAGCTTCTTCGGTGCAATGAGCTTCGATAATCTTATTATACTTGAATCTTACCTTCTTCCCCCCCCCCCCCTGGTTTCCTTACCCAAGTTTGATTCATATTCGTACGTGATGTAGTTCGAAGTTCAATGATGCAGTTGTTTGCAAATACTGTGTTGGTGTTGAATTGTCAGTTGGTGGTTGTAAGGTTGTTAACTGGTCTAGTTATCCCAATTCCCAAGCTTCAGGTCTATAGGGTGCTTACTTACTGCTCAAAGGATTTACCGAAACACGACACTGTATATGCGAGATAGTTGTTTCATGTTCTTGTTACTGTGGGGAACTCTAGTGTGCAAAACCTTTTCCCTGACTATGAACTCTCTCTATACAGAGATTTCTTCCAGTTTGAGAAAGGAAATAATGAGTTTGTGACGATTGGTAAGCAGCGCATATGGCTGGCCATGTGCGAGAGGGTTTTGATACTTTTGAACCGTATGTGATGTCAAAGTGAACTATTCAGAGCTTGAGGTATGAGGGAAATGCAGGGCAAGGGGAAAAAATACATGGCACCACGTGAGTTTTGGGTTCTTCATCCGTTTAACTTTACACTTGGACTAAAATTGACAGTACATAATCAAACGAAGCATTTAATTTTAATGTAGAATGGAGAGAAATTGCGCAGTTTTCCCTTCATTTCATTTATTTCTGATGGGATGGAAAGGACTAAAAACTGGTTGGCAAACTGGTCTGCAGTCGTTGTCTGGTACTGGAATTTGGCTCCGATGCACATGCCACAAATTGCCATTTCTAGTACGATGCTAACCCTTAATGATTTGCTGTAGCACTGTTTCTTGGGTCATAAATTCGAATCCTGAACAGTTGCAACTTGCAATGCCATCTGCCGGGTAAGTGGCTGAACAATTGCCATTTCTTTTTGCCATCCCTAGTTACCACCCCTATATCAAGGTGGGTGGTATTTAGTGGTACGTTTTAGTCTTGTATTTTTTAGAAATTTTCAGATCGAGTAAATCACGATGAACTCGTTCTATCTGTGCAAAAAAATTCAAAATTCAAGTTAAAACGAAGGTGGTACCAAAGTGGTAACGAGTTGTATGAATTATTTTTTGTCAGATATAATAAAAATGAATCTCATTTTGTAGATCACAACAAACTTGGTACATCTGTGCAAAAAATTTGAAATTCAAATTAGAACGAAAAAGATAAGAGCCGATTAATAAAATTAAGAAAAACAAAAAATTATTAATTCTCACCTATTAGATCTCGACTTCTTTAAGCCCACCCAAATCCAAAGGTCAAGATCTAATTATGGAAGAGTGCATAACTCTATCTTGAGCCTACGAATTTTTGTTTCCGATTACATATTTTTTCTATTGATTTATTTTGATACATGTTTGGATATATATTTAATTTTTTCGTGCAATTTTTCTTAAATTTATCTTAACCGCTTTATCCATATGGTCTATCAATAATCCACATCGAGAACCAAGAATTACACTTCCACCAAAATAGTCAAAGAAAACTAGAACACAAGAAATGCCATAACAAAATCTAACTCATGTTTGCATATAAATTGAATATTTATATTATTTCTTTGTTGTTAATTAATTGATTAATTATAATGTACAATAGGTTGTGAGGGCAAATTTGGAATATTAACAGTTGATGAGGGGTATACGAGTAAAATTCCATAATTAATTCATGGCATGTTTCAAATCTCATATCAACATGTGGGATTTACAAATCCGCGGGGTCCACAAATTTGGACCATTAAAATTTATGGGTTCCACGAATTTAGGCCCTACAAAAAGTGCAAGCAAATAATTGATTTTTCTTAAATCCCTGATGAATTGAATTTGGATACGAAATTCATCATCTAAATCTACGAAGCAAAGAGTCATTATATTTAATAAGTATGTCATAATTTAGTTCACTCTCATAGTTGTAGGTAAGTGCTTTTTCATCTTTAACTCCCCCAAATCTACTCAATGCCTTTTTTGACAGGAAAAATCTACTCAATGCCGATCCCTAATAATACTATCACTATGTAACATAAAATTGATAAGAAAGATGCTATACGGTTTTATTAATGTGTTGCTGCTTGCTAGGGAAATGCTGTGGAGAATGGGCCACAACAGACCCTTTTCCTTTTATTTTTTAGGGCTGGATTAGGTAAACGCGTTGGTTTCTGTTTAAGATATTGATTGATGATGTTTAATTGGAAGCTTTAAACATGGTACTGAAAAGCTAGTCAGACCCCACTAAGTTACTAAACATTAACAAGTGACTCCATCAGTGGGCTCTAGTGAGCAATTAACATCCAATTAATTGAAATTTTACGTTTTGATGTTTCTATTTCATTGATATTTTAATGTCACGACTCACAAGCGGAGTAGATTTGTCTGTATGATTACTGTGTCACGTTGGTTTATATCCAATCCTTTCACATGATATATATTTTGATTGGTCAATTGATTCTTGAGCAATTGAGGAATTCGTATTGAAGTGAATCGACATCTGAATAACAATTAGTTTTATTGATTATTTTTAAAAATTATTAAAGACTAATTAACTGAGAGATACACGATCTAGCACCGAATATATTTTCAATTTAATTAAAAGATCCTCATTTTTTTATAATGGTTCTCCAATATTATATTCATTCGATATGATTCTGGATCAAATGAAACGGTAAACATAATTATAGCAGAGGCAGGATAATGATTTGGTTCAGACCATTAATTCCCATCAACTTCTAAATTGAATTGAATTGGATTGGAATGAATTGTATTTAATTCTATTCCAGTTCTCATACAAATAAAGAAAAAAGTGGAAGATTGCAGGAAATGGAGCCATGTTTTTTGAGAAGCCAACACTATTGCACACAGGAGAATAGCGCACTCTCCAGTTGATTTGAACAATGTGTATCATGACTCTTATCATTTGACCTAATCAATAAACTACAGGAGGTGCGCTCCCTCTTTTTCCTAAAAAAAAAAGTGAATCGAGTAAAAACTAATTCGAATCAAGTGGGACCTGATTGCCATGTTCGATCCAATTGTGTACCAGATCGCCATGTCGATGCCCTAATTACGAGCAACGTCATTTACGCAATTAACACAAACTAAGTAGGTGCCTTTCTTTCCCGCTGAAAAAACTGCGCGCCAATTCTGATTGTAGGGATTGCGACAGTTGGTACTCTACCTACGGGAAAAGGAAAGGGAGCTCCCAATTCCCAGCTCGGCAGTTCCCATTGAAAAGCTTTCCTTCCCCTTTTGCCTTTTCTGCAGTTAAAGCAACAACCACCGTAACCTACACCGCGAAGTTTTTCTCGTGTGGCCACCGCCATTACCACAGAAACACTTTGTGTGGACAGCTGACGCCCATAACTATAAGGGTGAAAATGAAACCCAGTACTGTTTCATTTCGGCTAGCCTCCAAAGCTCCTTTACCCACCCATCAATTCCCTGCCTTTTCATATTTGGTAACCACTGGAAAAATATCGAAAATTCCCCCTTAAGTTGATTATGGGCTGTGGGTCCCTTTCTCTAGTATTAAGACATAGATATGCTATGATGGTTTCTGGGAATTCCTCTTGTTCTAGAACCCATAACCTTCTTCTTCAAGTTCTCGTCTTTGCCTGCAACCTGTTTGATGTTTTGCTCCTTCGGCGTTTCTTGTTGTTTTCCTCTGCGTTTGGTTGGAAGCATAATAAGCGTGAGTTTGAGAGTTTTCTAGTTTGGGAATTTCTCGCTCTGGTGGGACTTTCTCAACACTGTTTTGAAGTTAAAGGGTCTCTTGAGCTCTCTATGCTGCTTGCTTCGATATAGAAGAGCTCTAGCCTCTAGGCTTATACCCATGAAGAGGGTTGGTAGCTCTTTGTGAATAGTTGCTTTTGCTTGGTCGACTCTGTTGAGATAACTAGTAAAGGTAGTGAACTGCAACTGCTCTGGTTTACCTGTGAGCCATGGCATCATTATTGCTTAAAGCTTTCCCTGTATCTCTTCCTTTCTTGAGAGCTCCAGAGAGCAGCAAGCCTCAGTTTCAAGTGAAGGTCCGGAGTTTAGACCGCGATGAAGCATCATCGTCGACAGCATTTTCATCAGATTCAGTGGTGTTGAATGGAAGGAGTTTCACCAGAGGCAAAGATGAGGTGGAGTCACTGTTCGATGGTGGTGTTGAGCAGAAAGAGAAAAGCATGTCTCCTTTGGTTGCTGAAGGGAATGGGAGGTTGAGTTTTAGCAGTGGTGGTGAGAAAAGTAGAAGAAAAGGTGCTATTTCAGAGGACATGGATGTGCTATGGGATGATGGATATGGAACCAAGACTGTGAAAGACTATCTTATTGCATCTAAAGATATGATTAGGCAAGATGGAGGGCCTCCTCGTTGGTTTTGTCCAGTTGAGTGTGGGCAACCGCTCGAAGATTCTCCCGTTCTTCTTTTTCTGCCTGGTAATGAAGAATACAAGCATGCAGAGAGATGGAGTGATCTTCAGTGTTTGACAGCAACATTTGGAGTGAACTCTTTTAGGGTAGTTTGTGGGAATGCTGAAATTAACCGTTGCTATTTGTGTATGCAGGGACCGATGGTGTTGGCTTGGGACTTACGTTGCACCATAAAGCACTTGGGAAGTAAGTCTGCACTTTCTATCTCCACCTTGCTGGTAGATTATAGGGCTCATAAAGGGTTGATTACTGACCTGCACGTACCATTCGGTTTCAAGTTGCAGCAATGGCCTTCGTGATCTCTATCTATCATTTGAGTCTTTCAAGCTGCAGCTTCAATGTTTGGACTTTTCATTTCTCTATGATATTCTGCAATCACTTAGAACTTTCTCATTGATGAATGGGATTTTAAACTGGTGAATATGTAATGTGAAATGCTCACACCAAATTTTGTCTCATAACTTTGATTTGATCCTTGTTCAGATGCATGATGCTCCTTCATGTGATTTTTTTTTTCTTAGCGAAAACGGTTCTTTAAACATAAGTACTTCAAGATTTGGTATATGCAATGGTTCAGCTGAGGTGGGTGACGAAATAATACCTGTTTGGCAAATGCAGGGTGTTTGAAGTTAGGTGCCTCCATATTCCAGTTTATGACCGAACTCCATTCCAAGGTCTTATTCTTCCCGAGCATGTACCATAACATGTTTTCTTAGCTCTATCTAATTCCCTTTTGTGGTGGGATCTAGTTCTTGCACAATGGGATTTGATTTAATGATCTTATTACCATCCATCTTATTGCTAGCTGGATGGTCAAACAACTGTACAAGAAAATACATCTTTAGCATGTCCCCTGGCTCTTACCCAAAAGCAGTTTTTTTCAACATTTTGTTTGTAATGGCCGAAGGCCTAATACTGGTACCTTTTGCACCTGTTAACATTTATTGGGTTTATTCCATGAAGGCCTGGTGAAATTTGTGGAGGACACTCTGAAGTCTGAGCATTCCTCATCTCCAAACAGGCCAATTTATCTGGTAGGGGACTCATTTGGAGGATGTTTAGCTCTTGCTGTCGCCGCGAGGAATCCTCAAATAGACCTTGTAGTCATATTAGTCAATCCAGGTCAGTAAGTTCCCAAGGAATTTATAATTTGTTTGAAACAGTCTAATCTGACAATTTTGCTCTTTTGTTACGACAGCTACTTCATTTACAAGGTCTCAGATTCAACCTCTCCTTCCTGTCTTGGAGGCTATGCCTAACGAATTCCATAGTGTGGTTCCCTATCTTTTGAGCGGCATCATGGGTAACTGATAGTTGCATCGTATTTTTCATGGCTAGCGATTCTCCAAAGAGCTTCATGTGTTTGCAATTGCATTCTTCGGAGTTTTGAAATAGTATGCTTTCTGAACTACTGGTGCTGGTTTCTTATCAGGTAATCCATTGAAAATGGCAATGGTTGGTTTGGAAGATAGGCTTCCTCCAAGGGAGAAAATTGAACAGTTGTCTGGAAAACTTACTTCGTTACTTGATTACCTTTTTGTAAGTCCTGAATATTTAAATTCCTGGTCAGTTCAGCCTTCACAAGCTACTGCTTCCTCATAGGTCAAATTCCTAAATTATCACTAAATTATGAAATCTATATAAAATGGTATAAACTAAGATTCTGAAGCAAATACTAACTAAGCTAAGTAAATGTACTACTAAGCAAACACTTAGCATCCTTCTATCTGATATGCCGTTTGTTTTGTGGATCGGCATATGCCAGATAGATTGGTATATCACAAATTTCATTTGATCAGCACCCCACACACCCACTCGTCCCAAACCTTTCCAATTCGATCACAACCAACAAACTGGAGATTTAACCCTGCTTCAAGTTGAAAAGGTTTGGGTCAAGTGGGTGCAGGGGTGCTGATTGGACGATTTGATTACATGAAGAGCCTACTTTTAGCCTTATAAATGCATTTAATGTGGGTGTTTTTTTTTTTCCAGGTGTTAAGTGAAATTATTCCAAAGGAAACTCTTGTTTGGAAGTTGAAACTGATACAGACAGGTTCCTCTTATGCTAATTCACGTCTGCATGCTGTAAAAGCTGAAGTACTACTACTCGCCAGGTTCCTGGCTAGATGCAAACTTCTTGGGTTTCGTTATCTGGGCCCTGTTCTAGGCTGATTTTCAAATTGGAAATATTGACAGTAAAATTGATGGGTGTGTTTACTAACTGCAGTGGCCAAGATTTCATGCTTCCTAGCAAGAATGAAGCTCAGCGTCTTAAAAAAGGGTTGCAGAATTGTCAAGTTCGTTACTTCAAGGACAATGGGCATACCCTTCTATTGGTGGGTCTGAATGAATGTTGAAGAGCGACGCTTCTAAGCTCTTTTGCAAATATCTTCTGATCATGGAAGAGAGCTTCTGAAAGAAGCTGATGGATTCCTGGTTTTTTCTTTTTCACTTACTTTACGTGTGTCTTTCTCTCGTTGGTGCTGCAGGAAGAAGGCCTCAGTTTGCTTACTATCATTAAGGGTGTAGGCAAATATCGTCGTTCACGGAAGGTTGACCTTGTCATGGATTATGTCCCACCTAGCAAATCAGAATTTGAACGGATATTCTTCAAAGATGGCAGGTAATTTGCTCTTCAATTTCTCATGCCACACTTAGTGTTTTTACACAGGCATTTTCGAAACAGTATTCTACTACTGAAATCAAGTCAAATTATATTTGGTTAGATACATCTCCATGTAGACATATTTTTTGCCCGGCCAAGGTACAGTGTAGGCGGGATACAGTAGTACGAGGGAGATCACTGGAGGTAGGTTGTTGTTTAGGTTGAATCCCCCTAGCAATGGATTCACATGAGATAATGAAAACCATAGATTGCTTCCTTATCTTCTAAATTGCGAAGAATCACTTAAGCTAGCACCTAGGTGCAGATTGTTGTTTAGGTTGAATCCCCTAGCAATAGACTGACATGAGATAATGAAAATAATAGATTACTTCCTTACTTTCTAAATTGCAAAGAATCACTTAAGCTTGCACCTAGATGAAAACCATAGAGCATGGAGTTAGGATAGGTAGATTCAACTTGATATGTGATTTGATAAAAAGATAACAATCTGATTCATTTTTTAAAACGTTAGGAAAAAACACTTCCTGAAGATATATTGGAGTTTTTGACTTGTCAAATATTGTAAAATTAATTATAGATAGAGGTTGTAGGAGATAATAAAATAGAAGTCAAAATAGATGATTACGACTACATATCTTAGAAGATGAAAAATCTATGCGACCATTATCGTCTCGTACTACACGTGAATCGGTTAGTAGTAATCCACATTAAAAACACATTGGGACAAACGAATCATGTCAAAATAGTTGTTGTCTCTACTCCCAGTTTCCTGATTGGGACTGGGAATGAAACTCCGGATTCTAACTGCTGAATAGCTCATAGCTCCAAAGTCATCTGTTAGTTGTTATCTCCACTCTTTTGATAGAAATCAATATAAACTTGCAGGTTCATGCAGGCAGTTACTGGAACTGTGATGCTATCAACATTAGAAGATGGAAGGATAGTGAAAGGTCTAGCTGGGGTTCCAACACAAGGACCTGTGCTGTTAGTTGGGTACCATATGCTGATGGGTGTAGAACTTCATTCCCTTGTTGGGGAGTACTTGAAACAGAAGAACATCCTCCTTCGCGGGATAGCTCATCCAGAAATATTCGGCGGCAGATTCGAGTCCTCGTCCTCTGAGTTCAATTTCCAGGACTGGATTAAAGTGATGGGTGGAGTGCCTGTTGCAGCAAGCAATTTTTTCAAATTGCTCTCATCAAAATCACATGTTCTTCTTTATCCTGGAGGTGCCCGCGAGGCTCTACATTACAAGGTATCCATGAGACACTGCTTTTTAACTTGATAGCATAGTCTCAAAAAACCACGCATTTGAATACTGATAAACCTCAAAAAGTGGGAACATAAGAAAGCTGCATAGTTCAGCCCTTTGTTGCCGGTTGAAGTTACCTGTGCCTGCTGATGGGTGGCCATGCCTACTTTCAAGATCCCCACTGGCACACTTCAGTTACTGGCTTTCTTTTTCCATAATTTTCAGGGGGAAGCACACAAGCTGATCTGGCCTGAACAACAGGAATTCGTCAGGATGGCTGCCAAGTTTGGAGCCACAATTGTACCATTTGGAGGCGTGGGAGAAGATGATCTAGTAGAGGTAACTCTTTTACTTCCTGCTCAAGGAGTCACTCATCTCCACAAATCCCGGCTTTTGTTTATAACTTTGTCATGCTGTACATGACAGTTGGTTCTTGACTACAAAGACCTGATGAACATCCCTATCCTGAACAACTACATTAGAGACATTGCTCGCAGTGCTCCGAGAGTGAGGTGATTTTTCGCTCCCTTAATGTCTGTGTCAATTCTATGGTAGCTAGCATTGGCCTCACTAAGTTGTTGCTACTTGGTAAATTCGTAGGGATGAGACTAAAGGTGAAGTCGCCAACCAAGAACTTTTTGTTCCAGGGCTATTGCCAAAGGTTCCTGGCCGAATGTATTTTCTCTTCGGGAAGCCCATAGAGACTAAAGGAAGGGAAGACATCCTCAGAAACAGAGAAGATGCTCACCAGCTCTACTTGCAGATAAAATCTGACGTCGAAATGAATATAGATTACCTTTTGAAGAAGAGAGAGAAAGATCCTTACCGGAATGTTTTCGACAGGATGGTTTATCGTGCACTGTATCCTTCTTTGCAGGAAGTTCCCACATTCGATCTCTAAGAAGAGATATTGGCATTAATTAAAGTAGTTGCTAGCTGCAAATTCTGTCATTAATTCACAAAAAGTTGTCTGTATAAAGAGGAGTAACAAGTAGGATGCCATTACTAGTTTCTGATATGTAAGCCTTGAGTTAGACATCCAAATGAAGTCAATCATGTGTCTCCTGTAATGTCTCTATCCAACATTATGGTTGAGTTTCACAGTTTGCAACTTACTAACAACTGAATCTCTCCCTTGCAAAATTTCCACGAGTGAAGGTTTTTACTCTAATTAGCTTTTGACCCGGCTCGTTGGCCGGATTACTTTAAACTATCAATTCGTGAAGGTTTTTACTCTAACTAGCTTTTGACCCGGCCCATTGGCCGGATTACTTTAAACTATCAACTCATGGAACGGGAGAACATTTATTTTTGTGGGAATTGTAGCTTTAAAATATTAATAAAATATTAAAAATTTATTATTTTTATAAAATTATTAAATATATTACCAAATTTTAGACATATATTTACGTCCAGATCGAGAATAAAATAACAAATTTTAATAGGCCATACTAACAATTTGTTATCAATTTTATACCTAAAATTATCTAAATTCACTATGTTTTTTAAATTTTATTTATAAAAAATACTCATATTCTCTCCCCGCCTCAAACCCTAGGTTTTTACCAAATGACATCCTACTACTCTATTTCACGGTCTTATTATTTCTCATCATCTTCCCATTATTTGACATTGACTGTTTGATGAAATACTAAATTTCAACCAACTACCAATAATAGCAAAAGATATAACTAATACTAAACTCTTCAACCGTATAATTACATCATAAACAATAAACCTAAACCCAATATACTTAAAACAGATTGAACTTGCAAACAACAAACCTCAATTTAATTATAGCCCCCTATACTTTTTTTTTATATAACGAAAGTAGCACCATATACTCATAGCATAATAAAACATAGGCTTTTCCTAACACCATAAAATCTAAACTCCAAAATAATCAACAAAATTGGAGTGATCAAATGTAGTTAAGATAATGTTTAATTTTATTAATTCATTTATCAACTTATGAAGGTAAATATGTTTCTTTAAACATGATTCTACATCTAAAATTTTTATCATAAAAAATGTGAACACGTTAAAAGCGAAGTAAACAAAACAATGTCTAATATGTACACAACATTTGTCTCTCAACCACAATATCATTAACCATATACATTAACTTTCGATATTTGCACTAAGCATCAAACTCTAATATCATGCACCAAATATCATGCATAGACGGATAGTAAGCACCTGATTTTAACATAAAACTACAAATATTTATAAAAAAATGCACCAAAGACTATTGATAAATTTGTAACATTAAACATACATGCGTGTGTGGTTTTGGAAAGAAAATATAGATTCAATTGGAAGATTGAGGGAGAAAAAAGCAGGCGTTATGGTTCTGGACAGAGGAGGTCGTAATTTGTTTGGTAGAGAGAAAATATAGATCAATTAAAAAGAATAGGCCAAATACACTTGCATAACCAAAACTTTGACGGTTTTGCCAAATATAGCCAATTTTGGAGAAATACCAAAAATAGCCAATTCCGTCCAATTGTTTGACGGTGTTAATTAACGTGCTGACTGGACTAACAGCAGTGGTTGACGTGGCATATTTTATTAAAAAATAATGTTAGATGGAAAATAATTAAAATTTTATACTTATATTTTTAATCAAATTAAATTAAAAAAAAAAACAAAAATAAATCTCTTCTCCCCACCACCACCTGTTCACCTTCATCAATACTTCCTACCAGAAGCTTCCTCTTCTCCAATCTCCACCATGCGAGCTCTCAATCCATCTGCCCCATTCACCACCTTCCTCCCGTCAAGCCTTAGCAGAGGTTCCAAGACCCAATCCCTGCTCTGCCTCTCCAAATCCAAATCCACCATCCACTTCGATTTCCTCGCCAGTTCCTCCGCCGCCCCATTCAAATCCCTAGCTCCACTTAGATACTCAGTTGCTCCGTCGTCCCATTCAAGACCCAATCCCTGCTTCTCCCCTACCCTCGCTGAAATCGCCGGCCTCGTAGGCGACGATTTCGTGCCACCAAATCCCCAATCCCCGCCGCCACCAAACTTCCACAAATCCACGCCGCCGTCACCTCTCCGCACATCACATCCTCATCTCTTCTCCTAGGCAGCAGCCATGGCCGTGAAATCCAACGATGGCGGCGGGCCAGTAGCTCCGTCGCCCGCCTTTCGTGGATACCGTCACCGAAATCATGAGGCGACGGAGCTTCTTGCAGTACTCGCACCGCAGCCTACTCCTCGACGGCGGCGGCGGCGTTCTGTTCGCGATCTGTGCGGTGCTGGAGGAGGAGTTCACGCTCTCGTCAGCGGCCGCCGGAGGATGGGTTTGGCCGTGGGTGGGTGGGTTGGGGTCGAACTCGAACTCGAACCCGAAGAGCTTGAGCTTGTTGGTGTCGCCGCCGGAGGAGGAAGATTCGGCGGAGGTGTTACTCGACGAGATGTTCGAGATGCTCAGTGGGTTGATCCAGCGAGCTTCTTTGCTTGTCTCTGGCGATTCCCAGGTGGAGAAATCGGCCGGATTCGACGACCCAGGTGCCAAAATTGCCAAGGAAACTGGGTTTCAGATTTCTCGTCTTGTGGGAAGCTTGGGTTTCAGATTTCATTTTTTATGGGGGTCGAAAATTTCGTGTAAAGTTTGATGCATGCCAACTGTTTGTGTTTTTGCCTCACTGATTTGCAGGTGAAGTGAATTCCAACGAGAAACTAAGCCTGCTGAAGGTGGCAGCAATGATAGAGAACTCTGCAAAATCAGGAGCTGAAACAATCGATCTTGGCAGCGGTGGCGAGGACTGACCGGCGGCAGCTGCTGGTTTTGATGGAGAAGAAGAGGGGTTGCTGGAGGAGAAAGAAGAGGGTTCGAAGAGATTAGGTCAATAGGGATAGGGCGAATTTTTTATTTTTATTTTTTTTTTATTTTTGTAAATGACGTGTCGTGTGAGTGCTGAGTTGGAAATGAAATAGAGGGTGAGTTGGCAGCCAAGTCAGCGTTCCGTTAATTTAACTAACAGTGTCACTGACGCCGTTAAATTATGTAACGGAAATGGCTATTATTGTCATCAAACTTTCAAAAATCTGGCTATTATTGGTATTTCTCCAAAAGTGGCTATATTTGGCAAAACCGTCAAAGTTTTGGCTATACAAGTGTATTTGGCCAAAAGAATAAAAGACAAAAAAGAAGAATACAATTCCATACCTGCGTGTGTGAAGTTGCATTGCAGCCACCGATCGGGTGCCCCGCTACTTCTTGCCGCCACCGCCGCTCGGATGAACACGTAGTGGCGGATACAGAATTTTTTTAGAGTATTTTTATTGGAATTGCATTTAGAATTGCATTATGAGACATGACATTCATTTGCAATTGCATTGATGTAGATGACAATTGCATCTTTACAAACTTGCATATCATAATGCAATTATGGAATGCAAGGCACATCATCTTTTTTATTATTAAATTATTTATTAATTTTATTATTTGAGTGTTTATGTTTTAATAAATTAAATTTAAAAAATTATTTGCAATTGCAAGTTAATTGCATTGATGTGGTGCAATGCAAGTAAGATGAGTTGGATTGCAAAAAAATGAAGTAACAATAAAAAAAAAACAAATGCAATTGAACCAATGGAGATTCTCTTAGGGGTATCCTCTTCAAAAAATTAAATTAATAACTAAATAATACATAAATAATAAAATATCCAGTTAGTACAAATGTGACAAAAAGCCACGATGTTTTTCCATATTTCGAAAAAAATATAAGATAGATTTGGTGTCTACACTGCTCAACAAATCGTTATATCCTACTAGATCGCATATTCAATTTCTAACCTTGTTCATGATGTAATTACAAGTTGAAAAGAATGTTTCAACACTTGCAGTGTAAGTGTGTAACCATAAAATCAATTCAAATTAGGGGTACCCCTAGGGATAAGAAATTGTGTTTTTACAATAGAACAACAAATGAGTTATAACCTAATGGAGAAGATGTTTAATAATAGGAGTGTCCTGGATTTGAATAACACAGAGTACCACTTATATTTTTTTAATCATACACAAACTACTATCAAGAGTAAGATAATCGTTTATTAAAATTTTAGGAGTGTCTCAAATTACCAATTATATTTTGTTTATTTATACGAAATTACTACCGGGAATTGGATAATTGTATTCTCAAAATTTAGGGGTGTCCTAAATCACCATGTATCCGCCCGCCACTGTGAACAGGTGATGTTGGAGTTATTCTCACCGTCGCCTAGTCCGAAATTTGATCCAGCTTCGCTTACCTGCTGGCGGCTGTAATTTGTTTGAAGGCACCAACCAACGCCGTTGCTGACCGAACTTCTTTCTAGCTTGGCCGATCAGTTGATGCCCGGCGGCTGGAAAGTGGAAACCATCGCCTGTTATTTGGTTGATGATTGCTCTGATGCCACAATGACAATGGGCGGAGATAAATGCGGGTTAAACAATAATTGTCATGTCGTTTGGGCTTTGGTAATGGGCCCAACAATGAGGATGCCGGCAAGCGCACTGATGCGTTTGGGCGGGATGGTTGTCACGTCGGCCGGCGTGCCACCGGTTGTACCTGGTTCAACCGGTATCGGTCATAAAACCGGCATGATATCACCGGTATGACCGGCATGATCGATGTACGAATCTCTAAATAAAATGACATTATTTTAGTGAATTTAATTGATAAAAATTATTTTATATTTTATTTTATGAGTATAAAAGTTAAATATTGATGTTATTTGTTGGTTTCAAGTATAAATGTTTGGTATTGACGTTAAATGTCATGTTTAAATATGAGTATTTATAATTTTATTTGTAATATTCACCGGCATGAACTGGCACAAACCGGTATGTGCCACCGGTTGAACCATTCCACTTGCAAACCGGCACACTGGCATAAACCGGTTTGACAACCTGCCGGAAAGTCAGAAAATTAAGGAAATAAAAGGACTATATTACCCCTGAAAAAAATTAAGGGGAGAACAACATATCTTGAATGGAGAAAAGGTTGTAAAACTCCATTATTAATTAATCTATAGATGCTACAGGAAGACGGTTTTCATAGAAAATGATCAGGAAAAGAACGAGAAAAGGGTAATGCATAATCCGTCATTTTTGCTACATCAAGGTTGTCAACCCGGTTTAGCCCGTTGGTTTGGTTGAGCAAGTGGGTTGAGGGTTAATGAGCTGACTGCTTTAGTCCGGATATATGATAAAAGCAAGGATTGAAATATCGTACCGTACCGGCGGTTTGACCCGAAAAACCTACTATCGAAGGTTAAACCGGTAGACGACATTTAGCAGTATGAAGCGCTTGAACCACGGTTAAACCACGATTTTAGCATAAAATACTATACCGCTGACTTTTTCGGTACTACCTCCGATACAATATTTCAATAATTGGATAAAAGACATTATATTGTTCATACATTATAAATTATATAAAATATCATCTAACATATGAGTAATAACATATAATATTACACCAAAATAACATATAGTACTTAGATCCAACTTATAGTGAAAATTAAGACACTTATATAGCATCTGTGTTTAAATGTTCAACATAGAATTCCAAATATTGAGTTAGGCGAAAAGAAAACCCGGAAACTAAGCGTATTTCACAAACCAAAGAAAAAATGACGCCATTTGACTTCCAATTCGATACCTTGTAGCGGGTCGACCCGGCGGGTGTCTATGACCTATTTTTCTCGCCAGGTCAGGGTCAAAGTGGGGCAACCGACAGATCGACCCGCGGGTTGACAACCTTGTGCTACACCAAAAATGAAAAGTGATTCTGATATGATATTTTGTTACTTTTCTTTGTTCCATTTCTTGATTCTGTGCAAGTTGCAGGAATTGTGGAGCAGAATAGGAAATGAAAAGCAGACACATATGGTGTTTTAAGAGGCAACTCCAACCGTTAAGTTGAAAATGGAAGTCTCAATCCAGAGAAAAAGAATAATAGATTCTCTGAACTTTTCCCCAGAGTTGAAACCAGGCTTACTTAATGTTTTCAAGTTCGAAGGCTAAAGAGAAATTCTAATTCTTTGTGCTGCTTATCTTTAGCTGTTGTTATTCTTCCACCATTTCTCTTTCACCTTTATTCCTCCAGTAATTAACGGACACTATCAAATATTCCAGGGGGTCCTGCAGACTAAAGAATGATTCCATGGCCAAAACACGTAGAATTCAATCCTATCGGACTTTCTCCAGATGGTAAACAGCATATGATCTCTTTGATGTGCTAAAAAAGATGGGCATCATTTCCTTTGCATTTATAAGTTGCCTTGGCTATATAACAAGGGGTGTATACAAAGAGTTTCATCTCAGCTTATACACAACATGGCAGGGTATGGCAATACTTACAAAGGAGGCTACACAACTTACAGCACACCACGAGCCAACGAATGGAGGGAACCAAGTAGCTACTCTTCTGATCACGTTCACAGGCCGGTCGTCATTGATGCTGAAGGGAGGAAAAGGCCAACGGGAGGAGGCTACACAACTTACAGCAGCCCACGAGCTGATGAATGGAGGGAACCAAGTAGCTACCCTGCTGATCATGTTCACAAGCCAGTGACCATTGATGCTGAAGGGAGGAAAAGGCCGATCGTATCTCTTCCCAACCAGACTGCAGAAGCCTACAGAGCTGAGACCATGTATCAGCAGCAGCAGCATGCTCACCCCTCGGAGAACAGGCATGGTCACTCCATGGAGCCTGCTAATGCGGAGCACTACAGAGTTGAGCAGAAAGTGCATGAAACTTCAGACCCGGTTTACAATCGCCTGCAGAAAGTCGAGGAGATCATCACCAAAGTGCATCATGAGGTCAGTAGCACACAAAAGTTTGGACCTTTTAATGGTGGAAAATCCTCACAGCCTGATTCCTCGCTCTCTGGTGCAACAAATAATATCGGCACAGCGATAGGTTACCTCAAAGAAGCTATCAAACCAGCCTATACAGAATACAACTCTAGCAAGATGGAGGCAACCCATGAGAACGGGTGGCCTAAAAGAGGTGCTACTTCAGCATGGTCTGCTGATCCAACTGAAGCCTACAATCCTTACAACGCAAGGACTAACGAGCCAGGATATGTGAAAACCATGGACACCCATGAAGCTGCGAGAAGGTATGGAAATTTCAAGTTTTCACCCAGACCATATGCAACAGGAAGATAATTTGAAACAGAGAAGTTAGGTAGCTCTCTCTATTGATCCATCAGTGGCTTCTTGATCTACCTAAAGTTGTTCTTCGGCTCAGTAGCTACTACTAGTGTGTGTTTGTGTATTTTCAGCAAGCTATTTCACGTACCTACTATTGTGCTTACAGGCTTTTCCCAAAAGGTTGTCATATTGTGATAAGAAATAAGTTTCTATGGTTCAAAGTGTGAACAATAAAATAATGTGGAATTTATATCTTCATTGTCGAGCAATCTTCCATTTTCCATGCATCTATAGATGACGGAATAAACAATTCCTATCTTACCAAGAAAGTTCACAACAGGAGTAAATGGCTCTTGCAAGTCGATGATCCGCTTGATGTAAAAAAAGTAATGGATTGTGTGATATCCATGGATTTCAACAGTATAATAGGCAATCTGAGGGGATGGGGTTCGACACCTTTATGGATTTCCAATTCCAAAAGGACCTGGTACGTTTTTGTTTGCTCCGCCAACATGAATTTTTGAAGCAACCCTCCACCCATGGTTTTTGGGCTAAAATTCATGAGCCAAATTGTACATCCAACAGCCCATAGAATTCTATGACCTCACCAAACAGTATCTTGCAACCTTCGATGAGCACAGCCTGCACGTCATTACTGTCTTAACAATGCTCAAACAAGTGATTATAACAACTAAAGTTAATCCCAGCAATACTTGGATTTTTGTGATGGACTGAATAACCATGATCATGGCTGCAGTGTTAGGAAAAAAGTTCTAAACATGGCACATTCATGCAAAAACTGTACCATTCCTCTCATACTTTAGGGAAATAAATAAGCAAAGAAAGGAACTGCAGTGAAATTTAGAAAGAAGTGATAGATGCGAAACAAGTAAAAAGAAAGTACCTGAAGTGCATGCTTCCTTAACGTTGAGGTCAAATAATTGGTCAGCTCCACTTCAATGCTTCGCAGATGTAAAGTTGAAGAAGTCTAAACTCTTCCTGATTTCAACATGAAGGTTTATAACATCCTCTAGATTGAAGAACTAATATCTCGATCTGTTGCTTGCAGCTTAACCTCATTGATCTCATCAATTTTGGCAAAGTTCAAATTTTACCCTGAAAAACTTGCTGGAAGCTCTGGAAGTGATTGGAGAAAGCTGCATTCATCCAGGAGAAGGAGCTCAAACAAAGGAACTCCAGTATGCAAGCCTAACGCATCATTTCTCAGAAATAACGAACCCCATAAGGTGGAACGACAAGATGACCTTGACCGCAATCCCTATAGAGCTATACCATCAGCTTGGAGCACTTTGAGTGATTCCATTTTATCTAGCCCGTGGGGTAGCTCATCAAGCTTCAAACAGCCAGAAAGAACAATTACTTTCAGCTGTCTCAGCATGAGAACAGTTGACGGAAGTTTCCTGAGCTTTCTACACCCTTTAAGGTTCAACGAAACAAGTTTCTCAACCTTCCCTATCGATTCATTGACCTCAGTCAAATTTATGCAGTCCTCCAGCACTAATTGTTCAAGACAAGGCAGTCCTGAGAAGTCAGGGGTCGTTATGAGACTATGGCAGGCACTGATATCAAGGATCTTCAATGCTGGAAGAAACTGTTTGAAACAATTATGAATTCAGTCTATACAATCGATGGTTGTCAAAATTGATATTTTCTTTAAAACAGACCACTGGACAGTCATAGTAATTGTAAGGTCGAATCGTGAAATCATAAGCTTTCAAAACACCTATTAAAATATTCATATCACCTAGGGTCAATACCTTGGTGCCATGCCAAATATGCTTTAAACTGCTTCTTTGCATATCAAGAACAACAAGCTTCTCCAAGTGTAGACATGATGGCATGCATTTCAATGGCGATCCATGCCAAGAAAGCCATATTAAACTCCGAGGAAGATATTTGTAGTTTCCCTTCAGCTTCCCATAGTTGAGCTGGAGCAACTGCAAATTGCGCATCTTTTGAAGTGCTTTCATCTCAAACTCGTGAGACATAGAGAATGAAGTTGTACAGTCAGTATCTGCCGACTGTCCTCGAATGAAGCCAAGAACACGCCTCTTTGAAGTAGATTTGCAGATGAGACCATCATCGTAGGAATGTCTTTTCCCGCAACTGGTGCAAGGATCTGTGTGATGTTTGCCTTCGGTCATAGTACCCTGGATATTGAGAATGATGCCTCTAATTGCTTCTGTGCCCTGCATGATAACATACCATTTTTCCATATAAAAGGGGATCAGTGATCGCTAATGCTGGGGTCACTAGTCAATTGGTTACTGAATTTCGATTTTTAACAAACTTGAAAATGAAGTTTCGAATAACTAACAATAATAGTCACTTCATCAAGTGTTCTAATCCAGACTGTCCAGATTCACGTGTGTTTATGATGGATAAATAATAAAACGACACCATGTAGACCATAGTTAGCTAGCACAGACAAAACCCAATTTAATCCAAACTCATTACTTGACCCAATCCTAACCCACATTGCCATCAAACACCCTAGTCTCTTCCTGACTTCCTCCCCTACACAATAGGTGATAGCTAATCAGTGGATCTACTTGACATTTTTATCAATATCTTAGATAAATACAAAAACTGTGAAAATTGACAAAAGTGATTGTTACGTTAGGTATTTCAAAACTTCACCGACAAGTTCATAAAACATCAAACTTAAATGACTGATGAAAAATGAGAAAGGTGCCAAGGATGCACAAAAATATACGCATACCGTGTTTTCTCTCAGCACACTGATGGAATCATCATGAGACCAGAGCCTGCTACGTCTCCCAGGATCATCTGGCGATTCTTGACGAACGATTTCCCTCGCCATATCTCTGAGCAATGGATGCATAATAAGCCTGTTATTCTCGCCAATGGTCAACAGAAACCTGTCAACGAGATCTTGAATCCCAGCTTTTGCAAACAGCTCACATCCATCTAAAATCTTTGTCACATAATCGCTCTCCATCCCAATAAAGAAACAAGCTATGTGCAGGAACAACCTTCTGGCCAAGTCATCCTTTAGAGAATCATAGCTCACCCTGAGAACTTTAAAGATTCCATTGTGAAGAATTGCTTCCAATTTATCCAAAGCATTGTTCCACTCAGATATATCTATATCAGAAAGAAAGGTACCCCATTCTCGAAGGGCAAGAGGAATCCCACAGCAATACTTCACTGCCCTTAAAGAATGCTCCATGAATCCGTCGTTAGGGTTGGCTTTCCCAAAGACGTGTTGACTAAAGAGCTGCAATGATTCATCGTCACCCAATTCCTCAATCCTAAACTTTCTGCATATTTTATCATCCTTGAGCAAACGTTTGTGCCGGGTTGTTATGATGATCTTACTACCCTTGTACAGCCAGTCCCAGGTTGCAACGATCATGTTCACTTGTTCCAAATGACCAACATCATCCAAAACAATTAGAACCCTTCTGCAACCTATTGCATCTTTGATCTTGTTACTCCCATCAGCTTCATTATTCACCTTCACATTTTTATCATACAGAACTGTGTTGAGAAGTTGCTTCTGCAAGAAACCCATACCATTGGGTTGCTTTGAGGTCTCTCTGATGTTTGGGAGGAAGCAACTAGCTTCGAATCTGTCTAAGCTCAGGTTAAAGACTTCCTTTGCAATCGTTGTTTTCCCAACACCTCCAATTCCATAGATTATTCCGATTGGAACACTTGAGCTGTCTTGTAACCACAAATCAATGTCAGCTATACGAGACTCTATTCCTATTAAGTGGGAGGGAGTGTGTACAATTGGACGGTTCAATTTCTTTCGGACTTCTTTCACTATGTCTTGTACAAACTCAGCCTGATACCTGATACATCAAAGATTAACAACACACTACAGTTAGAATCTCATGAAGCTTTTACTGGTCTTGAGTATGTTAAGCTTATAGGAATAGGATAAAATGTGGATTCTTTTGGCTCGCTAAGTACTAAGAAAAGGGCTGCTAACATAGGATCTCAAAACCTTTCCTTCTAATATTGAATCAATCTCATTCTCCGTAAGTCCAACTTCATACACTGGGTTCATGTTAGAAGCATGCAACTAAAATTCTTCCCATGTGATATGTAGCCATTAATGAAAAAAGCCTTAGGGAAATTACCCATCCTGCAAAACCATTCCACCCAAATCCGAAACTTCTCGAAGAGCTGCCCTCCAAATCTCGGCCTTCTCCTTGGAGTTCTCCTCATGACTAGCAAATGCAGCAGCATAACTATCAGCCTGATCAGAAACCAGCATCGGATCAACATAGAACACAGGCATAACAACTATGTGATGAGGGAAAGATCTTCTCCTGAGGTCCATAATTTTCACAAGCTGATCGAGACACCACGTTGAAGACGCGAAGTCCTTGGAGAACACAACCAGGAACAGTTTCGACTCTTGCATCGCCTTCTGGAGCTCGATGTCGAGCTCCTCTCTCCGCACTATCTCATCGTCGTCTCTGAACGTGTGGAATCCCGCTTGCTCTAAAGCTGTGTAGAGATGGTCGCCGAATCCTTTCCCTGTGTCTTTGCCTCTCAAGCTTAGGAAAACATGGTAGTTGTATTGCGACCATGAGGTTGAGAACGCCATTGAAAAAGCTCAAACTCGCTGCTCTTACACGCAAAGAAAAATCCCACGAGGAAAAGAATTACTTCCCTTTCAGTATAAGAGTTGAAATTCCAACATATGAATTCGCCGGGGAAGATGCTCCTCTTTCTTGAAAGGTCGCTGATTATTTAAGCCGAGGCAGCTGCTCTCTTTCTTCCGAACCAGAAATCCCTCCCGGAATCCCGTCTTTCAGCTCTCAGATCAACCTTATCTATTCTCGTAAAAGGGGGGCCAAAAACTTGCTGATTATGGACTAATCGAAGTTCACTCGCTTCGTGTGTCCGAGAATCAAAGAGCAATCTCCATTACTGCAAGTCAAAGCACCCGATTGAAAGTTAGAAATGCTAACACCTTCGTTGGCCGGCGCCATAGAGTCAATGCAGCAGAAGTCAATGCGCGGGCTTCTCATCTTTTTTTATTTCTTAACCATCTGTTTGAATGTACTTGCTAGTAGGGATGGCAATGAATCGAGTTGGGTTGGGTTTTGCCAAATTCAAATACAAACTCATGGGTTTATCCGCGAAAAAACTCGGGATAAAATCCAATGGGTTTGAAAAACTCAAACCCAACTCAACCCATTTTGTCGTAAAAAATTCACAATAACAAGTTCCTATCAAAATTAACGTCAAATATCAATCTCTCAATACAAATTATCCATATATAAAACACCACTCTAGAAAATTCAAGCAAATCACAAATTAACTATACAAATTGTTCAACACCAATCTAGAAAACTCAAAAAAATTGAAGCAAATCACAAATTATCCATAAATAACATGATTAATTGAAAGTTTCTTCCCTTCAATTAAGTTTTTCAATCTCCACTCGATAACATCAAATTCATTATACACAAATAGAAAGAAAAAATTAGACATGTCTCCACAAACATAAACAAGATTAGTTGTTTAGAATATTAAATATGTCGAGAAAATTAATTATATGGGTGTGGGGGGTTCCCCATGGATCGGGTTTACCTAAACCCAAACCCAACCCAGTGAATAGTGAACGAGTTTAAACCCAAACCTGGCCCAAAATCCGTCAACCTGGATTTTACCCGCGTTGACCGGGTTGGGTCGGGTAGGTACCTGTGGGTTCGGGTTTTATTGACATCCCTACTTGCTAGGTCTCCTTAATATAGTAAAGTCAGAATTCACCTGTGTTGTCATAATCGAACCAGAGTATGACCTGATAATGTAAACGGCTCGCACTTATTTGGTCCAATCGGTACTAAACCGTTAAAAAACCGTTAGAAAACCGATATGATATAAATAATAATATAATATAATAAGTAAAAGACATATAACTTACTAATTGAACAATTTAATGGCTAAAATAAAATTTATTTTCAAAGTACTACTTAGTCATTTTATATCATAAAATACTAATACATTAAAAAAACCCTAAAGCTATCTAAACCGCAAGCTTATAAGGAGACAGCTGTAAGCAATTGAACTATTGGGTGTTGACTAGGGGTGGGCACGTGGGTGGTTAATCCGCAGATTGATATCGATCTATCCGCAAATTACCCGACCCGCAAGCCGTGGGTGATTGATGTGGGTGGATTGCGGAGTGACAAATCTCACACCCACACTAATGTGGGTGGATTGCGGGTCACCCATATGACCTGCATCCTATTGTTCTTGGCTGGCGGAACTTGAGCTTGTTGATCCGCCATGGGTGGAGATTAAGGTCTTGTAACTCTTCTCAGATTTCGTAGGGTTCTCTCGATTTATGTATCAAGAGGTAATATCTCCAAAGAATTCCTTCTTCGCATAAAAGGTGCTACAAAACACAACCTACAACCCGTGACGTACGAAGTTGGAAAACAAAACAAACAACAAAACAACATGAAAATAACAACACAAACAAGACAAACAAACAAAACAATGTAAAAACTAACTAACAACTTAATGGTTTTCTATTAGTCACCAAGGGTCCCCGACAACGGCACCAAAAAGCTTGATCACTTGAATCCGTGCATATAATTGTCAATGTTTAGCACGTGTCAACAACTACCCCATCCTAATCCGAGTTTAATCTATGATGGCATTATCGTATAGTGATAATCAAGGTCGTATTTTACTCGGGTCCTGGTACCCTATCCTACTTCCCATCTTATTGTTAATTAGTTAATCGTTTTGGAGGTTTGAGTGGAGGATTTGAGGGAATTACTAGTTTAGAGATTGAATAAAGCTAAAAGCATGTACTTCGGAGAACTATCACTCCCCATAGCCTAGGGCTACTATGTATATTTAGATACTTAGGGTTATCGAATGTGGAGAGTGAGCTCGATTCCATGGGCTTTCGTAGTTATCCACACACCTCAAGTACGCCTCCCATATACCCATATAAAGTCGCATCGATCTAGGTTATCGTATCTGGGGCACTAAGCTCGTATCTCCTTTCAATGGATACTATCTACTGTCCACAACGAGGTTTTATCTCGGGTTCTATCTATGAAGGCTACCTATAGCAGGGGTTCGGTCGCCTCGATCACCATAGGTCCCTATTCATACATCTACCTCAATTTGGTTGATGACACATACTCTTCTAACCCTATAACTCCATACCCAACACAGAAGCATAAAGTTGGCTAATAGAGAAGGTTAGGGCGACTTACCCAAACACAATCAAAGATAGAATAGCAATAGAATCAACTAGATAAACACATTCATTCAAACCCTAAAGTATCCATACATACATAGTAAACCATAAAACTAGAGTTTGGAGTTTAGAACCCCTAGTACTTTAGAGGACTACTCCATAAATGAGGGAAGAAGATACATAGAAGAAATTGAAGAAGACTTGAGGTTGAGGAAGATGTCTCCTCTCTTCTAGATCCTTCTCCTCTTCTCCTTCCTTCAACTTCATTTCTCTTCTCTCCCTAAAACCAAAAATTCTTCTCCCAAAATCAACTCATCTAAAAGGGGGAAAGGGGTCACCTATTTATAGGCAATCAGAGGATAGACAAGTTCGTAGCCAGAAGGGTAGAGATCTCGGGCGGGATCTTCAGAGGTGAAGCCGCGATCTTGAAACGCAGTCTTACTGGCCTTCGAAATTGAGGAGATTGTGGGCTGACTTTCGGTCGCGTTCTTCCTCATGCGATGTGGCCATGATTCGACAGGGAAAACTCTATGTTTCTCCTCGACTCCTTCTTCGCGAAGTTCGTGCCCCGAGGCCTCGAATTCGCAGCCGAGATCTTGGGCTTCCAGGCCGCAATCTACATCTTAACTTCGCTGTCCAGGATATCGGCTTTGATCTTTACTTCTAGGCCACGATCTTCAGTCTTCTGCCCCCTTGCTACACTTGTGACATTGTTTTGTACCTAATTCGCATATATCGTCTAACACATTCTAAAATCATATCGAATTCAAATAGGAACGGAATAGGGATGCAATTGACGATGTTTAAGCATTTATACACATGAATTGGCACGAAACAAACCTCACTATTAAGAGGATATAACACCAATTTAGGTGTTATAAATAACATAAGCTCAACAGGTTCAAATAACTAGGCTAGCAATCTAAAGTTCAAACAAAGCTTAGAACAAAAGGTTGAGAAGTTGGTAGAAGAATGCACCAGTCACCCTTTGCAACTGCTGGACAGAAGAAAGGCCATGCCATGAGTTAGGAAACTTGCGGACCCTTCGTCCATTGCTGGCCAACTTCAGATTGAAAATATTAGTTGCATGTTTGATAGTGGAGAAAAATTTCTTCATGACGGTCACAGTATCCTCCCACGAACCTTGACAGACTTGAGTATAGGATCTAGAATGTAGCCTACAGTCAGAGTGTAAAGCGTGTGTATTAATCAGTTTAGTTCACCATCCACAGAATATATACTCAATCAATGTCTAATCATCAAAAAAAAAAAAAGATGGCCATCAATGATAAGCCTGCTATATATATGTAAAGGTTAAAGACAGACCCAAATGCCTAAAGAAGTTAGAATCAACAACAATGAGAATTATGCTAAACTGCAAAATTGACTTTCTCGAAGTGAAAAAGGTTTTACATATGGGACAAAGGTACCTGCTCTTCCTGAATTTGTCTTCCAATAAGGGCATCTAGTAGAAGGATCAAGGTTTCATCAAGGGTCCAATAAGCTAATTCAACGTATAATTGCAGGTTGCAACCCATCTTCTCAAGCTGCCATAGAGATATCTCTATATCTAACTATAGGGCTAATTTTCCGACAACTTGATCACCCTAAGTTGAGGTAGGGGTGGGCAAACGGTTCGGTAAACCCGAACCGAAACCGAATTAGTGCTATTTGGTTCGGAATTCGGAAGGAAAATATGGATATTTCGGAAATCAGGGTTCTTTCAACCGAACCGAAATTCCGACCGAAAAACCGAAATACTATAATTGCAACCTCCAAATGGTGGATTTTTATGTTTGTAGTTGTTTTTATACTTAAATATTTGAAATGCATTATGACTTATGTGTTGAAAAGTTTGATTTTATCATTGATGATGCATATAATTGCATATTTATTGTTTATATTAGGGGTGAAAAATAATTTAAAAGTGAGAAGATACAAGTAGCCTCACAAATTCGATTTTGTGTTGAAAACCAAACCGAACCGAATTATTATTCGGTTTAAACCGATCGAACCGAATTATAATTCGGTTCGAATTTGGTTTGAGGTTTGGGAGAACTCGGGGACCCGGTATTCATAATTTTGGTTCGGTCGAAACCGAACCGACCGAATGCCCACCCCTAAGTTGAGGTCTTCCACTACCATGTGCTTTACTTGAAACGCTTCACTAACCATCCCAGCTTTCAAAAGGCAAGACGTCAACGAACTTATGGTAATGCCATCCGGAGCACAACCGATGGTCAACATCTTATTGAGAATACCAATTGCATCAGCCATTCTACCTTTCATACAGTGACCAACAACGAGTATAGTAAACATCACTTTGTTAGGAATACACTTCTTCTTTTCCATCTCTTCCACAATGATATTCGCCTCATCCAAATTTCCAGGTTAATTGCAAGGTTGGTCACTAGAATTACAAAAAAGGTTCATGTTTGGTCACTAAGAATATTTAATGTCATTCATGGTCACTAGTTTTAGTAAAACAGTCCAAATTTAGTCACTCTCCGTTACTCTCCGTTCATCTCCGTTAACACCATTAGTTTGTTGCTGACATGGCTAACAGACTCGCCTAATCAGCCAATTTCAACCATGAAAAATTGAAACCCGACCCGCCACATCATCTAAACCCGCCACGTCATATAAATTATAACCCAACACATAACCCAACCCAAAACCCATCTAATCAGCCAATTTCTTCGGCAATAGCTCCATCGTAAGATCCAGATTCGACACCGACTTCCCCTGCATCATCTCCTGTTCTGCTTACAACTTGTGAGGCTGGATCGATCATTCATTGAGGAGCTCGCCGTTGGCGCCTTTGTGGAGCACTCGCTGCCATGCTACAAACTTCCCGGAGCTCCCACGCCATTCTCCTCGAGAAACCAGCAAGAATCGAATGCCGCCGCTCTCAACTCCGGAAATGATTTATTCCATTTGATGTTTTGAGCCAGAGAGGAAGCACCCATCGTCCTTTCACCTCTGCATCTGGTACGTAGACATCATTTTCTGATGTTGATTCGACGTGCGGTGGAGAGTGTCGGGAGCTCGCCAGCCTGATACCGTGAATCATCACTAACACATCGATGATTTTGGGATCTGGGTTTCTTGGAAGCTTCAAAAAAGGCGAAGAAAAGAAGAACATGACCCAAAATCGTGCTATAGTCCTTGGTTGTTGGGGAGGATGTCGCCTTCATCGCCATTTATTAGCGGGATTTCAGATCTACCTTCTGGAGAGATTTGGGGCTGGTGTTCGACGGTAGTTATGGATATGGAGTTGGTTGTTGAGTGGAGGGCAACGCTAGAGAGTGGGAAGAACGACAACAATGGGCTGTCAACGCCTCTCCTCACATTTATGTACGTTGCTGAAGAAACCCAAAAACCCCCATCGATGAAGAAGAAAAGATGGGATTGTCGTCAAGATTCGGTGGCCGAGATTGTCGCCGACATTGGGTTTAACAAAATGAAGTGGGTGAGATTCTCGCCGGGATTAGGTTTGGAGGGGATTTGGAATTTTGGGTTTTTTTTGGGGGGTTTTGGGCATCGGATATGGGGAAGAAAAATGAACAAAAAGTAGAGAAGATGGATTTCTGATCTGTAAATAAAAAGGGGATAAAAGTTATTTTGTTTGAGTGGGTCGGTTCATAGGGCAGACTGGTTCAAGGGTTAGGCTGGACAAGGTTACATGGCGGGTCGGGTTTCATAATTTTTGGGTTAAATTAGGCTGACTAGACCATTCTGTTAGCCACGTCAGCAAATAACGGACTTAGTTAACGGAGACGGACGGAAACTAACGGAGTGACCAAATTTGGGTTGTTTTACTAAACTTAGTGACCACAAATGGAAATAAATATTTATAATGACTAAACATGAACCTTTTTTGTAATCTCAGTGACCAACCTTGCAATTTACCCCAAATTTACCACCTTACAAAACCCATCAATAATCGGATTATAAATGAATGGGTGTGCTACGATGTTATAAGAATTCAGCTCATTCAAAAACCTACGAGCCTCGTGATGTCTATTCTCTTTGCAAAGAGCATTAATTTTTTTGAAGAAGGGAGGCCAAGGCCAAATTAAAAAAGTAACAACAGAGGAGGCCACTGTATGCTTACATCACAAGCACCCAGATCAGGAACAAAAATAGGGAACGAGGGAAAGCAACTATCACAGGAGGTACCCAAAGCAAGGGCAAAGAAGCTAAGTGGATCCAGCAAGAATTCGTCTAGGAAAGCTGACTCCCACAAGGTCTTCTATGATGATCTTCTCTAAGTTACCTGGAGGTTCTAGTAGTTCATGCGTACCAAAGGGATAGACGAGATTGTGTTTCGAGAGCCAGTCTGCGACTCTATTCGCTTCGCGATACATATGAACTAACTTCACAATCCAGTCTTGAGCCAGCAATCTTCGTATAGAGCTGAGAAGGGTGGAGTGTGGGTGGACATGATCTGCTCTATTCTTTATCAACTCAACTGCAAGTTTTGAATCTGTTTCAAGTATCAGAACTCGAATACCTTTTTCCCAAGCAAAAAGCAGTTACTGGTGAATGCCCCAAAGCTCTGCAAGGAGGGCAGTGCCTTCCCCAATCTTGCAACATAAGCCGCTGATCCACACACCATGGTTATCATGAAGCAAAACTCCTGCCATGGCCATCTTGGGATTACCCTGCGATGCTCCGTCTGTGTTCAACTTAATCCATCCTTGCGGAGGGGGGGACCAACCTATAAGCTGTTCTTCACGGAGAGGTTTCCTGATTTTGTTTGTTCTATCTTGGCCATCTTGCCATAACTTCCTCCACTCTTTCGCCTTTGATATGACATAATTGATGATAGTGGCAGATATCATCCGAGTCCCTTTAAAAAGGAAATCGTTCATGTGCTTCCATATGTACCAGCAGATAAGAACAAAGAAGCAAAGAGCATTAATAGGAATGGAAAATGAGTAAGCATTGGGTAACATATTTATATCTCTCGTCACATCCCAAAGCTTCAAACCCAAGTTCACTTGTCCACTTCGACAATAACCATCAATCAAGGAAGTGAAGGTAACCACATTAGGAGAGCAACTGAAATGACCCATCTTTTCATAGATGGCTTCTACTGCAACCAAGTCACCGTTCTTGCCATATCCATCAATTAGAATGTTAAAAGTGATTAAGCTAGGATTAACTCTAGTCCTAATCATCTCCTAGAAAAGAATAGGTTTTGGTGATTGTTTGGTTGGGATAGTTACAATGCATTGTTTTTTGAATTTTCTGCACAAATAATACATGCATTGTTTGCTTGATGTGATGGAAACTATCACTCAAAATGAGTGATTGTACTATCTCTAGTAAAACTTGAGATTGTTGAGATAGTTTTGAGGAGATTGTTGGGTTCATTTTTTGTTCCAAATATACCCCTAGTTCTATATGTGTTCTCATAAAAGCAAGAGCAAAAGTGATATTTCTCACAAAAAGTAATATAACATATTGAATACTAAAAGAACTATCACCAAAACCAAACAATATAAAGTAAATTACATCATTTTCTTTAATTGCATGTATATTACAATGCATGCATTGACCACAATGCATTGATTTAACTATCACAAAAACCAAACCAACCCATAAGCATCTTCCATCTGCCCTGATTTGCAAAGCGCTGATATAACTGAAGTGTAACTGACGACATTTGGGGAGCAATCATTTATAGATTGAAGCTCCTGCAATAACCCACGGCCCCTGTCCAAGTCATTAATCATACAGAGGCCATTTATAAGAGTATTGTAAGTAACAATATCAGGAAAACAACCAAAGATCTGCATATCGTTCAAAAACTCGAATGCTTTATCAAAATCCCTTACTCTGCAAAGACCTCGGATAAGAATATTGAAAGTCTAAGTATTGGGACTAGACTGCAATGCCAGAAACCCTTTGAACAAAATGACAGCTTCCTGCACTTGATTCGACATAACCAGTTCATTCAACAGGTTGTTATACACAAATGCACTAATCTGAACACCCAACCCCTCAGCTCAGGGAGTAAACTACTGGTGAGATCAAATCTTCGAGCTCGAACGAATTCAGTTACCATAAACCACGAAAGATTACCATCAGGCAAATACCCATCTCTCCTCATGTAATGAAACAAAACTTCCACCATATCAAGCATTCCAATGTGACAAAATGACCTTATCATCCGATTATGCATACCAACGCAGTCAATTAGACTCAAATTCGACCTACTAAACTCCAAGAACTTAAACCCTACTATTAATCACCTCGAACACAATCTAAGGGGTCAACTTCCCACAAAGATACGCCAAACAGGAAGACGGAGAACGCGAATTGACGAAGAAGAGCTTCGACGCGAGTTTAACAAACCAAGCCTCTTCCTCTTGGTTCTTTATCATTATTAAATCCTTCCTATCCGGCGATCCACCTTGAGTGTGAAACCAAAGGTTCGTAATGGATGCGATTGCGAAGTCTCAAACCTTGAAAGGTCGTCGAGTGAATGATAAGAGGGTGGTCATCTGCTACCATCCAACGTCATTTCATGAGAAGTTTTCTATTTATTTATCAGCCACCATGTTCCAATAATCAATGGCGAATGCCGGGAAGTGATTGCCTTGAGAGGCATGAAGCTATCGGTAGTGAGTAGGGTTTAAGGAAAATTGAGCGTAGTAGGCGCGATTGACTCTTCCTTGGAAGGTCACAACTCACAAGGCTCACAATCGATATGTGCTTTGGGAGTGAGAAAAAGAAGCAGCTGGATTGCGAAATGGCCGAGATGGAGGCAGACAATGGTTTGGGCCTCAGTATTCCTTTAATTGGGCTTATTGGTCAAGACCGGTTTAGAAGGTTATTGAGCCTATATGTGTATGTTATGAGCCCAGCCTGGAATGCAGTTTATTCAACGCAAACGTAAACCGGAAGTAGCCCGTGAGATGGGGGATGCATTAGGATGGTTACTAGAATTTTGGTAGCCACCGTGGCTACATCAGTATCCGCCATCAATTTTTATCTTTTAATCCTTTTTATAATTTTACGATTAATGTTGCTTGAGGATAATTTTGGAAACAAAAAAAAATCACACCCGATTATTCTATATATTTTACGCAAACCCTACTTCTATCCCACCGCAAGCCCTCCTCCCACTCTTCCCTACCGCCGTCTCTCCACCCCTCCCCACAACCCACATCCCGACGCCTCTCCCCCCACCGGCGGCCACTCCCTCCCTCTCTCCTCCCTTCCGCCACCCACCGCCACTACCTCTCTCGCTCCTTCCTCCCCCACTCCACCACCCCTCTGCTCACAAACGGCCACTTCATTCCTCCCTTCCTCCTCCCTTTCCCACTCCACTCAACTGCAGCCTCTCCACCCCTCATTCCCTCCTCCCTTCTCCATCTCTCCCCACCCCACTGCAGGCGACATCCACTCTCACTCCCCCGATAACCTTTGAATGTATTGTTTTTTATTGGTAAGTTGTTTTTTGCATTGGTAGTGATTTTTTCGTAGTGGTAGTATTTTTTGCATCGGTATTGATTATCATGCAAGCGTTTTTTTTTTTTTTGAAATGGTAGTATTCTTTTTCTGTACTGGTAGTGTTTTTCACATTGGTATTGTTTTTCTCTTTTTTATTTTGCATTGGTATTGATTATCATGTAATGGTATTGATTTGCATGTATGGGTATTTATTAAATCTGCAATGGTATTTGTGTTTTGTGAAATGGTAGTGTTTTTATTTCTCGAATGGTATTGGTGTTTTGTGCATTGATAGTGTTTTTTTAATGGATTGGTATTGTTTTATTGTTGCAGCGGTATTAGTTCGGCTGAACGGAAAAAAAAGGAAAAGCTTGAGAAAAAGAAGGAAGAGAGATCTGGTTGGAGATTGTGAAAGTGAGAGATAGAGAAAGAAAATTGTAATTAATATATTTTTGTAACTTCCTAAAATATAATTTGTTAAAAAAGGTAATTAATAATTTTTTGTTATATCCAATTTGCCCTTAGTAACCACAGTGATAACCTGTCCCCGTGAGATGGATGATTTGGTACTCCGGTTAGGGGTGGCCAATGAGCGGGTTGGGTGATGTTTGGTTTCAAATTGGTCCATCCACTTACTAGTTAGTTGGTATATAGACTGTTATCTATCTATATTCTTCTTTGGGGTTTGGGTGGGAGCGGATGGGTGTGATTGAGTTATGGGTTGACCCACACCAATAATTCTCCAACTAGTCAATAAGAAAGTCGACTACCATTTATATTAAGTTCCTCACAAATTAAAAATTAGTAAGATAATAGCAATTTTGCCACTTTTTATTGATACTAGGTAGACAATGACATTATATTTCACCAAGGATGACATGGCAAGAGGATCAATACTTATGCTGAAAAGGCAACTATGTTGGAGCACCTACTGCATAAAGAGACCAAGAGGCCACAAATTTGATTACAATGGTCACCTTGATGGAAATAGAAAAAAGGTCAAGAATATTTTCAGCACAAATCAATTAAACCTACTTAACAAGGAAGGAGAAATAGAGTAAGAGGTGCAAGATGCAGGGAAAAATCCCAAAATACACATGTTTTTAAAAAAAATTCCCAAAATACATACGATTTATGAAAAATTCCCAAAATACACATGTTTGGGCATCACTGCGGTCGTCAACCGCAGTGAATGCATTCACCGCGGCAGACTAGAACGGTTAATGCATCACCGTGGTTGACGGCCGCGGTGAATGCCTGACACTGAAACTTCAAACGAACGTAACTTTGTGCTTGGTTATCTGATTGTAGCGAATTTCTTTTTTATTCCACATAACTTTTCAAGATCTTTCAATCTTTAACAAGCCATCATCCCAAAAATATGACTTTTGGTACCCCGAACGAGCAATTTTTCGATTTCGACAAACTTTGGAAGACCATAACTTTGTGCTCCATAATCCGAATGTCATGAAATTTTTTTTATTTCGCATTTTTGAAGGACTACAACTTTTATCATAACCATAATTTTGGAATGTATGTGAATTTTTTTAAAAAAAGGCAAAGTCATTGCCAAAATCCCGTATACCCAAAAATATTTCTTTTTTTTTAATTCTTTCCTAGTAAAATTTGTATTTCTTAAAAATTTATGCGCAATAAAAAACTTTATGACGTTCGGATTGAGGAGAAAAAAGTTATGGCTTTCCAAAGTTTGGTAAAATCGAAAAATTGCTCGTTCGGGGTAGCAAAACGACATTTTTTTGGGATGAAGGCTTGTTTCAGATTGAAAGTTCTTAAAAAGTTATGCGGAATTAAAAAAAAAATTTGATACAATCGGATAACCGATCGCAAAGTTACATTCGTTTTAAGTTTCAGTGTTAGGTCAGACTTTCACAGCGGCCGACAACCATGGTGATGCATTCACTGCGTTCGTCTGCCGCGGTGAATGCATTCACTACAGTTGATGCCCACAGTGATGCCCAAACAAGTGTATTTTGGGAATTTTTCATAAAACGTGTGTATTTTGGGATTTTTTCCCAAGATAAAGTATATAATGCAAAGGATGAATAGGTAGACTTTTCTGGAGATCAAAATCAAGGAGAGCTAGAGTGTTTTGTTTGAGATTTTGAGATGGTCAGTAAGGGTTCGGGTAGATCTCTAGGTTCTGATTTTTGGTTAAATCAGATAGTCTATCAACTGGGTAGTCGATAGAGTGTGAAAAGAGTGACCTTTGATCAAGTAGAAGAAAAGAATCAAAGATCGAAGGGGTTGAGTGTTCTATAAACCTCGAGTACATCAAAGCCAAATCTTTAGTGAAATGTCAGAGATCTAGCCAGTGTTAAGATCCTTAACACTGAAACCACGTAAAAAAATTGGTGTTCTTTATTTCTTTGGTTGTGATTGATTAGTTGGGTTTTTAGTCTCTGTTTTTTGTGTTCATTGCCAACAAAAGTGTAGAGGAAGCTTTTGATCGAGAACAAGAAGTTGCGGAAGGTTGTCTTGTGTTTCGTTATACGACAACGTTTGTCGTGTTGGGCTTACTTGAGTGAATAAATTAGTGTGTAGGCATATCATTCAAATAAGTGGGATTTGCTTGATTAATACGTGGGCTTGTTTT